TAAGAAGCAATGTTGATTTTGTTGGAAGTTTGGTCATTTTCAGTGGAATGATTTTGCTATTGACACTAAATAGAGCTGTTTAATCAAATGATAGGACATGTTGCAGAGAAAATGTATATTTTTTGGGGTAACAAAAAAATCCGTAAAGTGGGGGGTAACATCTCCCCAGTGAGGATTTGCGACACAGTTTAGTCCCTGAAGGAATATTACAGCCACATGAGCGTTAAAGAGGGATGTCCCGGTGCAACGGCGAATGTGAAAGCAGCCAGCGCATGAATATTATCTCCAGAATGCCACTTCGGAAGTAGGTCACCGCTCACCGATTTGTTCACCATGTCTCCAGCTACTGTGGGCTTGTTTGGTCCTCGGATCGCTCCTCAGGTCGACAGCCCGACCGGGTAGAAACTGAGCATCAGAAACAGGACGGAGAGATCTTCATTTCCCGACGGGACACGCAAGGTAACGATGAATCGCGGCTGTAATTCCCGTCACAGTTGGAGATGATTGGATCGCCTGCTTCTAACAACTCGGCTGTAACACGAGCTCCTGATGATATTGATATTAACTAGCAGCGCCTCTAACCCCAGATTGATCGAGAATGTTCGGATGTTTTAGACTCGTTTCCTCGCTGTGGAGCTTTTTTCACTTCTCCTATCACAGCCTGCACTCCTGCTACGGCATGCTGTCAGATTAACACCGTCCTCCACCATGGCCAACTACGAGCTCCAGTATGCGAGTCTGCTGCTTTCTTTTTTCTTGCACAGCCCGATTACAATATATAATGTTGCGCTTGATTGCATTTTGATGGTTAATTTAGTGCAGATCCGTGATTGGAGATGCGTGTGTTTGTAACTGCTGGCGTTTTGAACCTGCATGGAGGTGTTGGAGGATGGTTAGTGTTTGTGGAGGATTGCTGAACTGCTGATTTGCTCCAGGAAAGTGGACTTGCAGGGATATCACTATCTGAAGCAGTACACCAGCTTAGATTCCTGAGAGCTCCTGCCTCAGGGATTTATTTTGTCTTCCTCTAATGATGATGATAGCTCTACATGTCCCTCCTCTGAATGAGTCCGTGTGACAGCTCTGCCACCTCCTCCCCTGTCTTCAGATACACATTAAACTGTAGGCTACAGTCAGTTAACATGCCATCAGGAGGAGGGAAACGATTAGGTTTAAGTGGGCTTTATGTGTCAGTTATGCTCCATTTACTTTAAATTGCATAATGTTGAAGGAAGGGTTCTTCGATATCAGAAGTCTGTCCTTTAGTATCTGGATCCTCCCTGAAATGGAGCTCACAAGTTCAGGATAAAATATGATATATGTTGACACAATAACATTTCAGTCTTTCTTTAATTTTGGCTCTTTTTTCCCCTGATAAAACTCTGTAAATGGTGACTTATCATAATGAGATGATCACACAACTTTTTTATTATACAAAGGCATGTTTAATGTTAGGACAAATACATCCTCTTGTCTTTTGTGTTATGGATACTTTTTGAGACCTTTTAAAAATCCTTCAAATTAAAAAAATCTCTCTTTTAGTTTCCTGCTCACAACTCATGTGTAAACTCAGGTCATGAACTGGATGAGGAGATCACAAATTGGGGAGCCAAATATGTTGTGAAACACTGATTTAAATGACTGATTCCATCTGGCGTATGTTGCCTGAAAAGGTGAAAGTGTCCATTATTTCACAAGAAAAGGTTAAGTAAAGAAAATCCTGGAAAAGAAACCTAAACGTTTCTTTGTTTTTCTGTCTTCTCTCATTAGGTATCTCCTGACCCATCATATTCTTAAACCCTTGACCCAACCAGATCAAGCTTCTGGTATTTCATTATTTCTGCCGAAAACTACTGTAAAGATAAAAAGAAAAATTAAGACACAATCTCCTTTTTACAGTTTACCAAAGGTTTCTAGAAGTAACGAGAAAAGAGAAGTAGTCACCCATTAATCAGTGGTTCCTTTTCTATATACTGTATAACATTAAAATATTTACCATGGATTGGGTAGTCCCAAAAGGTTTGGCTTTGTGTGTGTTCGGTGCGTGCTATATCTTTTGTTGATTTCCTTAACCACATGAAGAAGCAAGTAAGCATCCGACCCAAGTAATAACCTCTTGTTGTGTTCGGTGAGGGGAAGGTCTAGTCAGTATAACAATACGATGCTCACAAATGAGCTCCTGTCCTTCCATTGTGCATGCTTGTCCTATTCAAATGAAGCATTTAGATTTGATATCCGCAGACAGAAACTCAATGTGAGGCTCCTTCTGTCCTCTTGTTATCCTGAAATTAAATTTCGCTCTCATGGATTGCATTTCACGGTTCACAGAGTCGTACGGTATAAGTGAAGACAGAGCTACGAGACGGTTGTGAAAATGTCCAGTCAGAGAGTTGTGACCACTCCAAAGTCAAAGTAGGTTTGCAATTGTGGTGCAACTCAACTGGGTATGTTCTCAATAAATGTAAGATGCCATGAAATGATAGAGGGTTGTTCTGGTTCTAGTGTGGCAGAAAAAAAAGATATTGAGAAACAGAATAAAACTTCTCACACAGTCTTCTTCTTGTTACTAAAGCACTTCAACACTTTCTGCACTTCAATCACTTTCTCTAAGCTTTCATTAGGTGTGACATGACAGAAAGTTGTAATGATAATTTGTTTCATATTTGGCGATGAGATGAAGTTGTGTTCATCACTCAAATGCACAAATAATCCGCTGTTTAATGGATTGGTCATTATTATGCAGTGCAGAAACAGTTTTTAGCAGAATATGAGTTGTATCCCATCATCATTCTCTTTTTGATGTGTGTAACTTGACTGTGAATTGGCTGAAGAATACTTTTTTACGACTCTAACAAACATCATAATGTAGAGACAGGAGAGGAAATGGAATATGGTGTGTGGAAAAGCAACAGCAGCAGAAATCAGCTGTGTTTTGTTTAGTCGTTTTAAGGTTAAGTTGGTAACTATAACAAATCACTTTATCATTGTTGCTCAAAATTTCAGGTTACACCGACAGTAGGGCATGATCATCTGTTTCATACAGTATATTGCTGATAGGAGAAGGCCCAACTTGTTCCTCCTATATTATCTCACATATATACTCTTCTATGGATTTAGTGCTGAAGCAGATTATTTGATGATCACAATGAATTCATCATTTAATCAATTTCTTAAATGTAAATAATTTAGTTACAGTTTTTCCAGTGTGATTTATGTTGTGCCTTTTAATGTTCAATTTGATATATTTTGGTTGTGGACCATTGTTGAAAGAAACCAGACATTTCAACTTCAGATATCAACATGGGCTCTAAGAAACTCTGATGTGTATTTTTGCTATTTTGAAAAATGTTATTCACATGCAGATTTATCAATACTTCCTAATTTCATAGATGAAAAAAAAAATATGTGCAGTTGTTGAGTGTGTTAATGAAAGCAGAGATTCATACCCAGTCCTTTCTGAACAGTGTGTGTGATCGTGCCAGCTCAATGGTGTTCTGGCTGAAGTCACTTAATATAAAAAAGTCCCATGCTGACTTAGTTCTTGGAGGTCAAGTGGCATAATTGTGTTTCATGGCTGCAGCAAGAAGGATGATCCATCTCGTTATGCTGCGCGCACGAGTGTCATTGAATAAAGGTCACTGGCAGTTGAGTCATAGGGAACTTTAAAGGTTTTCTCCTAAGGGAGGACATCTTTTTTTGTGTTGCAAGAGCAGGAAGACAAGTGTGCATTACAGAGGATCGTAAAGCTTAATACGCGACTTCTACTATAAAGTTGCTGGAGGTGCTTTGATGTGCTCTGTACCAGCCTGTTGACATGGAAACTGAAGAGGCTTTTGTGCGACAAGTGTTTCCTCCGCCACTTTTGGTGAAATAAGTATCAATTCATGAGTCATTTGATCATACTGTTTGTTTTTGTGTCTCCAAATGTTGAAGAGTGGCAATACATCGCAGTTATTTCAAAGCATTCGCTGGCCTTTTTTTACCTCTTAGAAATTGAAACATTCCCTTTGTCAATGTGAAACAGTCTTTGATATATTTAACTTAATTATTTCTTACTATTGGGTAAGCCACAGTGCCAGTCACAGAGTTCAGCTACAGGCTGTGTCATGGAGATCACTTCTAAAAGCATCCGTCATATCAAACATTAAATGCATCACCTAAATCATCTGTTTCTGCGTTGCGCTTCTCTGTGTTCGCCCTGAGTGGGTGAATGCCTGTAATATTGAGCTCCTGCTGGATTGTGTGAGTCATTAAAGTGCTTCAACATGGGTTCAAGTACCCAAATATGGTCTTTATTGATACACAGGCGAAAAGGCAATCGTTTTTTATTTTTTTAGTATTTAATTTGGCTGCAATCCTTATTCCAAAGGTGCAGGTGATACAGATTAAATAATGAATACACGATGAGGAGGGCTGCCTCCTCTCTGTCAGTCAGACAACTAATTGGCTATCGTAGTCTTTGATTTCTTTCATCGTTTGTTATGCTTCTTTGTGAAGCTTATTTCCAAGAAAGCCAAACAAGATGAAGTGCTTTTGCATGATTATTCGTGGAGAAACTCAGCTTTACAGATTTGTCGATTAAATGATCTAATCCATTGGTCAACATAAAAACATGATCTAGAAAAAAATAGCTTTTGTCCATGACTCAATAAAGAATATCTTTAGAGCAAAAAAAAAAGAGCAACTCTTAAAATGAGACGGGGCATACAAATGGGAAAGAGGTTTGAGTACATACAGCCTCAGGCATTACGTTATATAATGTTCTCTTTATCTCAGTTTCTCTTCCATCTCGTGTGTGCACTGGATTTGCATGTCAAGGAGAAAGGTTGTCTAAGTGGTCATATTCTCTGGGGTACTGCATATTGACAGCAAACTAAGTAAAACCGGTTGTTAAATAATGCATCAAAAGATCCTGTCTGTTACATTAAGTCACTTGCAAAGTCTCTTGTCTTTGTGGGGCTTAAGCTTTACAGTTAAATGTCTGATCTGTGTCTCCCCAGAGAGTGTATGGACCCAGGTGATTGTCCATGAGGATGCTCGCTGCAGGCTCTCTTTGAGCTAAAACCCTCCATCGTAGGACTTGTGAATGAAGAGGAAGCGGCTGCTCTGCCTCTGGACGCTGAGACCATGGTGAAAGCTCAGGCTGTGAAATGTGGAAAGCCCCGGAAAGAGAAGGAAAGCAAGGAGAAAGGCGTCGGCTTGAAAAAAGGGAAAGACAGAAAGGATGAGTTGAGCGATAGAAAAAAGAAGCATAAGAAAGAGCCACATCGACATAGGAGGAAGAAGAAGACACTGGCAGTCGATGACAAGGATGCACTGGACTGCTGCGTCCTGCTCACCCGTCTGGAGGAGAAAGGGGTTGTGGGTAAAGGAAAGGATGCACCAAAAGATGGAAAGCAAAAGAGGGTAAAAGTAAAGAAAAAGCTGCATTCCAGCTCCAGTCAAAGAAGGACCAAATCTGGATTAAAGAAAACGTCCACAGCCGATCAGCAAGCACTGGAACCAAAAATCGACCAATCTGACGCCTTACCCATGTTTCCCGCCCCCTTCTTCGAGCCTCGCCAGCGGAGAATGGCGTCTCTCAATGCTGAGGCTGTCAACAGCTTGCTGCTCTACAGAAACAACTCTCATGCGTCAAATCTCACAAAGAAACGACAGCCTTCTAATGAAGACAAAGCTAAAGATAGTCTTGCTAAAACTGAACATAAAGGTCTTAAAACCAAAAAGGTTTCCCCAGGAGGGAAAGCAGACCCTAAAGAGAGACCTAAAAAACAGAGGCGGTCAAAGGTGGAGGCTCAGAACATCGACTGGTTGGCTTTGTTTGCGCCAACGCCTCGGCGTCAGGCGGGCCTCACTGCTGCTACGCTGCTCAAACTCACCAGTTCCACGTATGGAACCAAGCGGCAGAAGAAGACAGAGTCCAAGCCAGTGAGTGGGAGCCAAGCAGCAGCTACGACTCAGGATGATATAAGTAAACCAGTGTGTGGAGAAACAACACTGACCAAAAGAACAACAAATCCCAAACATGATGACCAACTAAAGCACATAAAACAGGGTACAGAGGATCCGGTGCATTCCCAGCCAGACTCCCAGGGCTGCTGTAGTTTGTGTAAAATCGCAGATCCAGAGTGGAAGGGCAGCACAGGAGGACGGGAGTATCTTAAACATGAGCTCCAGCGTGGCTCTTCTCTGGGATTCTCCGTGAAAACAATCAAAGAGGAACAGGTGGAATCTGAGGTGTCTTCATGCTACTGCTGCTCCCAGGAGAGGTGTGTGGAGTACTGCCACCGACTGGCCCTCTTCCTGGACGACAAGACCTTCAAGGAACCAGAGGACGGCTCGCTATCAGAGGTGTTCCACCACCACCATCACCACCACCATCATCACCACCACCATCTTCAGTCTCCTCACACTGTAACCCACCCAGCGCCCATAACCATCAGCCCGCACACGTACACCTGCTATCCCGGCTACTACGTCCACTTCAGCCATCAGGACTCCTCACAGTCTCCCATATCGTCCCCGGCTTTGTGCTCCAAGAGCGGCAAGAGGCCCAAGCTGCTCCCCAGCAAGGGTCCACAGCCCTCAGGGATCACCCACCCAGTGTACTGCTGCTCCTCGGTGGAGGCGTGTTACGGAGAGCCCTGCAGGCTCAACGGCTACTCCACCTACACCAATGTGATTCCAGCCATCGCCAGAGGAGGGTGCTCCGTCAGCCCTGCAGACTGCACCAAATGTAACAACGGCATCAAAAGAGGTGAGCAGACAGAATATTGATATTACCAGAGTTACTTTTTTTCAATCTCCAGCAGTGTGTTGGTTTGTTGTTGAAAAAGACGAGTTAAAGGGGACCTATCATGCAAAATGCACTTTTGTACGTCTTTTATACATGAATATGTGTCCCCGGTGTGTCAGGGAACTCACCAAGTGTCAGAAAACACAACCCTCTCTCTTTTCCTCCATACCCAAATCTCTAAAAACGGGGCTGCAACGGATCTGATACAGACTGATACAGATTTGAAATATCTCTGATGTCAGAAACAAGGAGCTCCTCCTATATGGGAAACTCTCCACCTATCAGGGGAATGAGAGGTTGCGTGGCATGGTAACAGCATGGTAACTGGACGCTCGTGCCTCGCCCCCCTCCTTGGCAGGGGGCGGGTGTCGAGCTGCAGCTCATTTGTCCACCAGAAT